TGATGGTGACAATGATGATGATGATGATGATGATGATGATGATGATGATGATGGTGACAATGATGGTGATGATGACGATGATGATGATGATGATGATGATGATCTTAATAGTTTATCCCAACGTGATAAAATATCGCAATAATAAAATGTAAAAATATTTTTATCCATTACAATTATTCTTTCTTTTTGAACAACTTTTATTTTTTAAAACTATTTGATGACATGAAATATTTAAGTCTTTTTTATTTTTAAATAAAATCTATTAAACAAAAAAGTAAGTACGGCTATAAAAGAAAGAAAAAAAATACTGAGAGATACTTTTTAAATTTATATACTTGATATTTTGTCTTTGCTTTGCTACCAATATCATAAAATACTCTGTGTATCCATAGGCAACATATATAAGTATTTTAAATATTCTATAACCAATAGGGAGGTAATTTAGAACTTTTACAATTATTTCCTATTTGATCTGCCATACTAAAAATAATCTGACAGTTGTAATAATAATAAATTCAAGAAAATTTTGAAAATATTTCTGATGCGAAAGTAGCATTATTTTCGATTCTTCAAATACATTTTATTTAATAAAACAAAAGATCTCTTTTGTCATCAGCAACAGAAATAATTTAAAAATCGCACAAAAAAATTACAGGTAATTTTTTTTCAAAATAAATATACATTTCCCTGTCAAATCTGAAAGAAAATAATGCTTTTGTATTAAAATTATGCAAGCACCAACTCCTAGCAATATTATGGTTTTCATTTTATTGGTTTATTTTTGTGATAATTTAGGACAAATTTTACGAAGTTTTCTGATTTGATATTCAAAATTATACCTTCAGGTATTTTCCTCTATAAGAACATTAATACCTGTCATCACCCCCAATTTTAAAAAGTATTCACTATATAGAGAATTAGAGGATAAAAGCCCCACCCCACAAAAAATATTTGCACAATGTTTTCTTATAAAACTCGTTATATCATTCATTAATGAATAAATGCTTAAAATTTAATTTAAATTAGATAATTTTCAGTGTTTTGCTAAATTTTTACAAACGGGGCTGAATGTATATATTTTTTTCTTTTTTCATTTCGGAAAAAAAAGGCCTAAATTTTGACTGAGCCAAATATACGCGTCGGTGCTTAAAGATGGAAAAATCATTCATTTTATTAAAACAAATATTTCCTGTAATTTTCCCGAAAAAACATGACCAAAACGTCGTATCTGCTAATTTTTGTCCTTAGCGCTCACTGCCATATATATATATATTTATATTAATGGATGTGTGTAAAATCAAAATTATGACCTTTTTTTGTTTCTGTGATGTTAAGGTGCTTAATAGTATCGAAGTGAGATTCCTGTTGGCCAACGAGACTTTTGACCTTGCTTCCTACATTGTCATTGGTTTTGTTCTCGCAGTAGGAGAGGGGGAGGAGCTTTTCTCAATCATTTGTTCTCGAACGCCTGGATCCTATCCATATAATATAAAATCTGATTTTACCATTGTCCAACTTTTCTCAACTGGTGCACCGGAGCACATTAAGCTGCCCCGGAAGGTAGCCAGGCACGCCTCAATTTAACAGAAGAGTAATTAATTCATTATTGTTATATTTAAAAAAAAAATCTTTATTTAAAAAAAAAACTAGAGACACCAAGCAATATAATGTCTTAAACATAAATGTCTATTTCAAGATTCTTTTTTATTATTTCCTTATTTTCAAAATTCATGACTAAATTTTCTTATTAAAATTTGAAGTGGGCTCAAGAGTTTTCGTTATTCTACAAGTGCGCCCTGAAGTAAACACTGCCATAGAGCGTCACTCCTCTCAAACACGACTCAATAGTAATATTTAATGCAACGATGATGATATTATTATTATTATTATCATTATTATTATTATTATTATTATTATTATTATTATTATTATTATTATTATTATTTTCTTTGATTTCTGGCATTTACACATTTCTTTCCGGGTCCCACCCAGGGACCTAAGGTTAGAAATAGCAGCATGACACTTTCCACTGAAGAAAAAAAAAAGAAAAGAAATTACATAGATAAAGCCCTTCGTAAAGTGTGGGCTGTACTGTCAGAACATTTTTTGTATCTCCTTGAGGCATGGACTTACAGGAATCCCTTCAATTAGTCTACTGCAATCTTTTCCAACCAGTCCTAGGGCTCCAACTACAACAGGGATTGTTGATGTTCCCATATGCCACATTTTTGAGATTTCTATTTCAAGGTCCTTGTATTTTGACAGCTTTTTGAATATCTTCAAAGATACATTGCAGTCAGCAGGGACTGTCATATCAATAAGAAGGCACTGTTTTTGTTTGTGGTCTTTAATAACAATATCTGGGCAGTTGGCTTTGATTGTTCTGTCAGTGTGTATTGTGTAGTCCCATAATTATTATTATTATTATTATTATTATTATTATTATTTGTGTATGTTGTGTTTCCTGCTTTGTATACTACAGAGCTGGATTCAAACTATGTTCCTTGGGCCCTATAGAAAAATTGTTTTTTTAATTGATAGCTCTTTTCTTAGTATATGGGATGTTCCAATCAGGGCGATCTTCTGAGCAACTTATATGTTGATGTTATCTGGGACACTGTTAGTAAAATTGTCCATTCCTCTTTTCACGAGGCCCAGAATTTCGATTACTATTGGTACATTTTCAGTCTTCTATCCCAACATCCTGTTAATCTCGATCTCCATGTTCTTGTATTTGGACAATTTCTTGATAATTTTTCCATGTTTATCTCAGGAGGTACTGCTATGCGAGTAAGCATACACTTCGTGAATTTCTTGTCTTTTATGATAATATCAGATTTGTTGGCTTTTATTTCCCTGTCAGTTTGAATTGGCATGTCCCAGAGGTTAGTTACATCGTTATTTTGGGTAATTGTTTCTGGTTGATGTTCATACCATATTATTATTATTATTATTATTATTATTATTATTATTTCCTTTGATTTCTGGTGTATAGTCATTTCTTTCCGGGGTCCCGACCAGAGACCTAAGGTCATAAATGGAATCACGATATTTTCCACTGAGAAATTTTTTTTTGAAAAAATCACACATTTTAAATTGATAAAGCCCTTCGTAAGGTGTGAGCTGTACTTATGAGAACAATTTTTTGTATTTCCTTAAGGCATGGGCTGCCAGGAATCCCTTCAAAGAGTTTATCGGAACATTTTCCAATCAATCCGAAGACTCCAAATACAACTGGAATTGTTGATGTTCCCATGTGCCACATTTTTGAGATTTCGATTACCTTATATTTTGATAGGTTTTTTGAAGATCTTCAAAGATACATTGCAGTCTCCAGGTACTGCCATGTCAATAAGGAGACACATTTTGTCTTTACTGTTTCTAATCATGATGTCAAGGCGATTAGCTTTGATTGTTCTGTTAGTGTGTATTGTAAAGTCCCATGAAAATTCTTATAGGCTCTGTCCTTGTAACCTGGTCTGGGCGGTGTTCATACTAATTTCTTACTGTTCCATTTCCGTAAAATCAGCTTATTTTCCAATGCAGGTATTGGCCAACGTTTTCATGTCGGATTTTATATTCAGTCGGTGCCAGTAACGAGCAACCTGATACAAGATTATCAATTGTTTCTGGATACTTATCACAGAATCTGTATTTGGGGCTGACATAGTTATTCCTTATACGTGCTTGGTAATTTTTATTTAGACAGCATTGGTCCTTTGCAGCAAGAATAAAACTTCCGGTTTCAACTTTTAACCATGCACTTACGTTATTATTATTATTGTTGTTGTTATTGTTTTTGTTGTTGTTGTTTGTGTGTTATTCCTCCTGCTTTGTATCCTGTTGGGTCCAAACTATGGATCTTAGTCCTTATAGGAAAATTGTCATTCAACTGATAGCACTTTTCTTAGTATATGAGATTCTTTAGAGTACACTTATTATTATTATTATTATTATTATTATTATTATTATTGTTGTTGTTGTTGTTGTTTCCTTTGATTTCTGCTAATTTCCTTCCGGGTCTCAGCCAGAGACCTATTGTCAGAAATTGCTTCATGACATTTTCCACTAATCCTTTTGTAAACTCCACACTTTAAAAAAAAAACAAACCCTAAATCACATACATTTTACATAGATAAAGCTCTTCGTATTATGTAAGATCTACTTGTAAGTAGTAAACTTTTTGTATTTCTTTTGAAGGCATGGACTACCAGGAATCCCTTCAATGAGTCTATCGACACATTTTCAAATCAATCCGAGGGCTCCAACTATAACTGGAAATATTAATGTCCTCATATACCACATATTTGAGGTTTCAAATTCAAAGTCCTTGTATTTTGATTGTTTTTTGAAGATCTTTAGAGATACATTATAAGCTGCAGGGACAGTCATTGTCAATAAGAAAGTACATTCTTATTCTTGTGGTCTTTGCTCACGATGTATGACCGATTACATTTGATTGTTCTGTCTGTGTGTATTCTAATGTCTCATCAAATTGTTACAGATCCTATCTCTCTAACCGAGTCTGGGTGATATTCATATCAGTTTCTTATAGTTTCCTTCCCGTAAAATCTGCATATTTTCCAGTGCAGATATTGACCCACTCTATCATGCCAATGTTTATATTTAGTGGATACTAACACTGTGAAACCTGATGCAGGATGGTCAATTGTTTCTGGATTACTATTATTATTATTATTATTATTATTATTAACTTACAGTCTTGCACCAGATGTTTAATTACAAATGTTCAGATTTCCAGCACTTAACCTTACTATTTCTGCAGACTCTCGCTGCTCTATTGCTATTTCCATAGAAAGTGTCCAGACGAACTACATTACTTAGTTCCACCAGTTCTATCCTTCACGGTTAAGGTCCGCCATACCACGCTCGTTGTAGTGAGCCACCCATAGATAGATTATGAAAAGATTGGCACAGATAAGGAACAGATTGACATAGACAGACACATACATACATACATGCATAATCAACCGATTGACATAGATAGATAGATAGATAGATAGATAGATAGATAGATAGATAGATAGATACACAATCAACAGGTTGACATAGATATATGCATACATAATCAACCGATTGACACAGATAGATAGATAGTTAGATACATAGATAGATAGATAGATAATCAGCTGATTGACATAGATAGATAGAAAGATAGATAGATAGATAGATACATACATACATATATAACCAAACGATTAACATAGATAGATACATCCATCTATTCATCCATCCATACATACATACATACATACATACAAATGAACAGCTTGACATAGGATACAATTAAATTTTTTCTAATCAATTCGAGGGTTCTAACTACAATTGGAAAATGTTCCCATGAGCCACATTTTTGAGATTTCGATTTCAAGGTCTTTGTACTTTGATAGTGTTTTGAAGATCTTCAAAGATACATTACAATGTACAGGGACTGCCATGTCAGTAAGAAGGCGCATTGTGTTTTTCGCAGTTTCGCACGATATCTGGGCGATTAGCTTTGATTGTTCTGTTTGTGTGTATTGTAAAGTCCCATCAAATTGTTACAGGTTCTATCTCTGTAACCGAGTCTGTCTGATGTTCATACCAGTTTCTTGCAGTTTCCTTAAAATTTGCTGGTTTTGCATTTGTTTTTCTTGTTATTATTTTTTTTTATTATTCCCTATGGTGAGTGATTCCATCTTGATATGATGCCTATACGTGGAGAGTTTGAAAATTTCTTGGCCATATTAGAGAGGCACTGAAAATATTCTCAGCCATACGAGAGTTAGTGAAAGATTCTGGGCTCGAGCAAAAAGTCACTTCTCCAAACAATTCTGGTAATTTGGTCGGATCTTGGTAGTGGATCTGACCGAAAACATTTCAGTACACGTTAGGGTAAACATAAGTCTCGCCGTTTGTCTTAATTCGGCCACATATACATTAGTGCGTGCGTCCAGATGAAGGCTTATGGTAACTGAACCGTCCGAATATATATATCTATATTTTTAGGGGATACTCATATTTGAGTACACGCTCCGTGTACTTATTAAAGAATATGTTTATTTTTGTCTAATGGCGTGAATATTCGAGAAATCTTATTTGAGAAAAATACGCGCTCCGTGACAAGATGCGAACCTTCGTTCCTCAAGGGAAAATCATCATTAGATCTGACGTGCTTTGACCTCTCAGCTACAGAGGGCGTCGATGGCGAAGCAAAACAGAATAGTGCTTTTAAACACAGATTTTTCGCTAACTATTTAAATAGACGTATCTGTTGCGTATCTTAACGTAAAGAAAGCAATTTGTAAAGAAAGGGGGGATTTTTTTTTCAAATTGATTAATGCGACAGATTTTTATTACGTACACGTCATTTTTAGTGGATACTCGTATTCGAGTAGATGCTCATTCTACTTATTAAACAAACTATATTTCTTAATGTTCGTCTATCGGTCAGAAAGTGCATATTTTTTTATAATAGGATTTTTTCTTGAATATTCAGGCCGGTAGACGAAAATAAATAAAATAATATAAACTTTTAATTGATAGACACAGCGTCTATCACTCAAATCATCTACTAAAAATAACGTTTAAGTATGTTTGTGTGTGTGTGTGTGTAAGGTTGTGGGTGTTAAACACACACGCGCGCACACACACACACACACACACATATATATATATATATATATATATATATATATATATATATATATATATATATATATACACGCACCCTGATGCATTAACAAGTCTCCACGAATGTGTTGGCTTATGAGTTTCTGAACAATCCTATAAATTTTATAGCACCCATTAATTCTCAAATACCCACCTATTTACTTACACACACACACACACAAAATCACACACATACATATCTGTGTGTGTGTTCTTAAGTATGTGTGTATGTATGTATTTCTTCTCTTTTACACCCAAACGCATTATTAGTCGCATGCTGACCTCACGATGACTTCACTCTGACCGAATTTTGAAAGAGCTCCCTAACATTCTCAGCTCCGCGTTGCGAGTGGCTGAGTCTCCATTTCACTAACCAGTCTGTCAGCCTTTCCAGTTTACCCCTGACCCCTTATTTAATAGCAACAAGTATCAGCTATCATAGTCGGGACCTTAACAAAAGCAACACGAAAGCTATTAAAATCTGGGTATTGTATTGAAAACACTTTTTTCCCCTTTTATCAGAAATGCATTGTTGATTTTGGAGGCTGATGGCTAAAAATCATTTGGGGGAAAGTCTGAGCAGATACAAGTTAGTTAAATTATATTTAATTAAATAATATCGATTAATTTTAACGCACAAAGTATAGAATGGCGGAAGAAAGCTGTGTTGCTCCGATCATTTCTCTACAATTTTCTGTCCTTTCTAGAACTCGGAATATTTTGTCTGTTTGTCATCTCTCCTAAATCCTGTTCTATTATTTGCATAAGCACGATTACCTATCTATATTTCTGAGATGAGGTATTATTTAAGACATTATTTATGTTTATATGTTCTTTTTATAGATACAAATATTTAAGTAAATGCTCTGTTTTATAATAAACAGTATTAACAACATTTACCGGCCTGATTGTCCGAGAAATTTTCATAGAAAATATGCGTCCTCCGACAGGAATCGAACCTGTATCCTATACGGAACCGTCATATAGCCTGACGTGCCTTAACCGATTGGGCCACAGAGGAGCGTTCGGTTAGCAAGGTTGATTTTACCGCTTTTAAACACAATTCTCCATGATTTTCTCTCATTCATTCATATCTGATCAATGCGTATCAAAATGTAAACAAATGACGGCATACATTATGAAATGGACAAAGTCCGACAATTATTTAAAACATTTTTTTCTATGAACATTTCTCGGACATTCAGGCCGGTAAATGTCGTTAATACTGTTTATTATAAACAGATCATTTACTTAAATATTTGTATTTATAAATGGAACGTATAAACATAAAAAGAATGTCTTAAATAATTGTCGAACTTTGTCCGTTTCATAATGTATGAGGTATTATGTACACTATTTACATTGTTCGGACTATCGTCCTCATCTTTCTGCCATATTTATCACAACGTTTCGGCCGTTGTACGCTCCGGCCTTCTTCAGGTGGTTGGAATTTCCAATTTAACCCTTTATTTCGCTCGCTGGAGTAGCCTGTTCTAGTTACACGTGCCATTTCTAATGGATGTCATTTATCAGTTATCTCCTGTTAATTCCCCTCTCCAAGTTCTCCACCGCCTTAACCAGGAATTGAACTCAAACTCTTTGGGTCCTGTCACTGGATATGATAAATATGGCAGCAATGATGAGGATGATAGTCCGAGCAATATAAATAAAGCACGAGTAGATTATGCACTGTTTTCCTATGACCGTCTTACTGCCAATGTCCTGTGAGTGTTAAATTTTCCATTTCTTCATTATATGCCCGAGGAATTTCCATTTTCTCTTAAACTTTGTCATTGTTCATATGTTCAGCCGATGATATTCTCAGTATCCTACAGAAGCACATTATAATTACTTCACGTCTCTTCTACATCTGCTAGGAGATTGTCCTGCATTCACTGACATATCAGATACGTTCTGTATTTTTTCGAAACTCTTGGACCAAAAAGAAGACGGACATACCCAAAAGTCATCGAGAACTTTGGTTCACTACAGTTTATATAAAAATAGTATAAAAGGTTCGTAGTAGAATCTCAGGTTTTTGTGTGTTTCTCCTTTAATTAATGAACACCCACCAATAATACACCAAAACGCAAACTTTAAATTCTAAAATTTAAAAAGCGGTAAAATCAACCTTGCTAACCGAACACTCCTATGTGGCTCAATCGGTTAAGGCACGTCAGGCTACATGACGGTTCTATAAAAATTCCGTGAACGAACCTAAGGATAATACAACGACGAAGCTGAGGATAATCCCATAAAAAAAAGATTTTCCGGACTGTTTGGAAGAGTGAAAGGTTAGCTGTTATAAAGTTGGGAGGTATCAAGTTGAATACTTTAAAGTGGACTCAGTCAGTCAGTTATGATACACGCTTTGGCGATCATGTATCTTTCGATACATGACTGACGAGGCAGATTAAACTGCTTATAGAACTTTGTTCTCACCATTATCCATTTCACACTATTTAGCAGAGGGGACGGCGTGTTAAAAAATGTTCTAGAAATAGAAGTCTTGCCGCGGTCAACTGGCGGCGCATATCACGTGGCCGCAAAGAAGCAGACAAACCAAGAGTCAGTGAAGCGGCACATTTCTGTAGGACAATTGCTGGGAAACCGTTGAATCCATAAAACTTCGTGGAGGTTTAGTTTAGAAATAACAGCAGAAATTATGGATGGAGTTATGTGTATATTATTTAGCAGAGACTGTTCTAGGGGAAAATCAGTGTTGGAAGAGAATTTCCTAGCAAAGCGCACTGCTTTATCTGCTGCAAATAGCAACAATTCAAATGGATTGAAAAGAGGATGTACTAAAGATATGATTTTCTTCAACATACGGTTGCAGAGTTGCTTGTAGTCAGTCAGTTATGTGCCATGCGTAATAAACGATTAATGACTGACGAGGCAAATTTTTTCCCCGGTAGTATGTTGCCATTTCTTTCTGCGGTAGACCAGTTGCCATCCAAGGCTATAGAATCCAGTTTGTCCTGCTATTTATCCATAGCTGGAGGGATAAGAAGAGGATTCATACTTTTGCCAAAGGGTATTAGCACATAAGTGAATGTAATGGATTCGACTGGAATTCGAACTCGAGGCTATATACTTGCATTCACTAAAGTGCAAGGGAATAAAGCCCAAATCCTTAAAGCTCCTTTTAAACTTTGCTGAATTAATAAAAAAAAAAAAAAATGATTTGTATCTAACCATTTCACAAGACGATATATTTATTTATTTTCGTCCACCGGCCTGAATATTCGAGAACTTATATCAAAGAAAAATACGCAATATCCGGCAAGATTCGAACATGCGTTCCGTTGGGCAGGGAAAATGCCGTTATATTCGACGTGCTTTAAATCTCTTGGTCACGAGGTTTGTCGAAGTATCAGCAAATTTGAATAGTGCCTTATAAATGCATATCTTTCTCAGACTCTAGAAATATACATATCTGTTCTGTTTCGTATGCTGATGTAAACAAACCAATTTTAAAAGAAGTGATAGATTTCATTTAATAATCCGTCAGATGTTATTACTAAAA